TTCTCAGAGCGCAGTGTTCTGGTGGGATAATATGGCACTATGAGCTCTCTAAGATATGACGGAGCTTGACCATTTAGAGCTTTATAAGTTAACAGTAGGATTTTAAATTCAATTCTGGATTTTACAGGGAGCCAGTGCAGAGAAGCTAAAACAGGAGAAATATGATCACATTTCTTAGTTCCTGTTAGTACATGTGCTGCTGCATTCTGAATTAGCTAGAATTTTTCAGTAACTAGCACAACACTGCTCATGACTGGGCTGGTGGTAAAAAAAATAACCCACACAGGCTCTCCAGACAGGATTAAAATCACTGACTAGCACAGGTAATGTTAAAACCACCCCACCTCCCAAAGTAATAATTCCAGTCACAATAGTGTTTAATAAGTCAGTCGCTGGAATCTGATTTTTTTTCCCCAACAGTGTGACTCAAATGATAAACTGGCTCACTGACCCTTTGCTAAGTCCTGCCCCTGGACACAGGCTGACCAATCATAGCATAGCATTGGGCCAGCTCAGAGACTAGGGTCCGCCAACAACACGGCTGTGCTCCATTGACTCTAAAGCAGTCATTTCAGATTTCAGTACCTCGAGAGGTTGAAAGGAGATATATATATGTTTCTTCCCTGTTCCAAAAACCCTGAAGAGTGTAGGATTAGCTGGCTAGCTACTGAGGATAAAGCCTACTGAATGTATACATATGCTGCTTTTGCTTTTTAATGATTATAATACATAATAAAGATTGACCCTGCTGTACAGGGATCAGTGGAGGGAAGCAGGGAAACTTTGGCAATACTGAACCAGCAGTGTGTCATTGCATTGTGCACAAAAGAACAGTGTTTGACTTCGCCCGGAGCTCCCCAACAGTCCAGCAGCAGAGGTCCGACTGCTGGCCAGTGGTTATATTTATTGTCTTCTGTCTCAATCACCAGGTGATGTGGTGGCTCCCTTTTATGCTGTCATTGGTAGCTTATAATAAAGCTTTAGCTTCTGAATATCTTCATCTTTTTAACCTGTTTTTGCTGCTGAGTGAGCTTGACATCCTGGATATATTATTCCAACATATGTTGTAGACCCCTCTGTCTGCTTCTCTCTGGAATCGCTTTTTCATTTTTCCAAAAGGATTGAGAAGGATGTCAGATTGACCATGTTTTGTGTCATTTAAACTGGGCTAGTTAGAAGAAGAAGTTAGTGCATCTTTCTTAACGATTGAATTGTGGAGAATCTAACAGAGCTAACAATGTGCAGCATCTCCATAATGACAACAGTTTCAACATTTATATGGGGGTGCCCAATCTAAGCAGCTAGCTAACGCTAGCTCAAACAAGCCAACAACATGACAGCAGTCAGACCTGGGATCAAATTAAGACCTGCATTTATTTGTCAAAATCTGTGGCTGTACTCTGAGTTTGATTGCGAATTGGCTTTTGATATACATTTTTATGGAAAATGTACAACGTGTCTCTTACTCGGAGCTCTGTTACATGGAGGCTGTTCACAATATTGTTACCGAATAGTGTAGTTGGTCCTGAGTCACAAAGCTGGGGAGATATTTATGTTATTAAGGGACTTGTGTGTATGTCTGTCTCTACATGTGTTTGAATATGTATGTGTGGTCTGCTGATTTTACAGGGGACAACACTGTTAAGCATTTTAGATGTAGACTGTTTTAATCTGGTGTAATATCAGTTAATTTTCCTTTGTCTTTTACAGTACATCACAGCAGGGCCCCTCTCCACTACAGCTATCCACTACATCTCAAAAGATGGTAGTGATCAGCACATAACTGTACAGGGCTAAGGTATGTAACCCAGAAATTATATGTGTTTTTGTGTTTGAGATACAGTAGCTGGAAATATCTTTCAGTACTGAAATGCTTTTTCCCAAATATATCTGTATACATATATATATATATATATATATATATATATGCTGTTTTGTATATATACGTTTCATGCCCTATATGAAATAGTTATGGCAAGGCTTGAAATATATACAAGAAAGGTGGATCCGGGAAGCACTTAATTTGAAAACCCAAGGAAATCAAAATTTAAATGCAATATTTTACAGACTGTAGATGACCTGATGAGGCTCGTCTTTGTGGAGGTGTTTGAGAACTCTGTGCCATTTGCTGAGAAGATGCAAAAAATACCCATCCCAAAGGACCTGGCATCCCAGTATGAGAGACCCTCAAAGGAGGAAGTGGTTGCCTTACACATCTCTCACTTCACCCAAGGGGCAATCGGAGGCCAACGCCGTGACCAGCCGGATCAGGAAACTCCTGGCATATCCAGAGTACAACACAGTATGGGATAGATGCCTGAATGGAGAGTATTGGACACTATTAGTGTTGCAGATAAAACGCTGCTATTGCATATTACTTACAATCTTTTTTTGCTGTTTTAATTTTTTGCATTTGCTAAAAATAGAAAAAGTTCTTTTGACAAAAGACTTATTTGTCATTTCCTTTATTAGTGGGTCCTTTGGTATAATGAAACCTTAGAGTTCAGAATTGAGTTTACACAGTTGTATCCCATTAAATGTCATAAAAACATACTCTTCTTCAGTTCTATTCAGTCAGGGTCCATAGTCATACTTGTAAATTCTTTTGTATGTTCTGTGGGGTGTACGGATTCAAACAGTCAGGCTCCAGGCCTGGATGAGGTATCAAACATGTAGGATGAATTGGAACCTGGTTCATTCCCCCAAAACCTAATACATAAAAAAGAGACAAGGCATACTGTTTTATAAGTAAGCAAATAAAGACTCAGGAGACAACATCACTGCATATAACAAATACTGATCCAGGAAGCAAAATGTGTTTTAATATGAAACTTTGAGTTTATATAAAATGATGTTATCGCAGGAGAAACTGTGATACATTGGTACATTGTACATATTGTTGATTACAAACATAAGATGAAGATGATTATGAAATGCAGCTACATTT